TCACAAAGTGCTTAACAGAGAGCAAAATAACTAAAAACAATAAAACAGATCACAAAAAAAAACAACACTTAAAGCACAATAAAAAGCACATTAACTAAAAGCCTGTCGGAATAAAAATGTCAAGATGTTTCTTAAAAGAGTCAGGAGAATCTGAGCAGCGAAGGGACATAGGGAGAGCGTTCCAGGGCCTCGGTGCCACCACCTGAAAAGCTTTGTCTCCACAGGTTTTATATTGGGTTCGAGGGACCACCAGCAGCATTTGATCAGAATGGATTTCATTAAAACTCTTCGAAAATAAATATCAGATGTACATACACATCTGACTGACCAATGCTCTGAAAACACCTGTTTGGAGCATTCTACAGGTGAACATTTTCACTGGAAACAGGTGAGTGCCACAGCTGAGTATAAAGGGAGTTTCCCTGAAAGGCTCAGTCATTCACAAGCAAGGCTGGGGCGAGGTTCATCACTTTGTAAACAACTGATTGAGCAAACAGTCCAGCCGTTTAAGAACGTTTCTCAATGTATGATTGCAAGGAATTTGGGGATTTCATCATCTACGGTCCATAATATCATCAAAAAATTNAGAAATCTTGGACGTTGTGTCCTCCGGGCCCAAGAGGAAAAGTTCTGTCCGGATTGTTATCAGCACAAAGTTCAAAAGCCAGCATCTCTGATGGTATGAGGTGCGGCATGGGTAACTGTCCCACCTGTGAAGGCACCATTAATGCTGAAAGGTACATGCAGGCTTTGAAGCAACATATGCTGCCATCCAAGCCACACCTTTTTCAGGGACGTCCTGCTTATTTCAGCAAGACAATGCCAAGCCACATTCTGCAGTGTGGCTTTGTAGTAAAAGAGTGTGGTTACTAGACTGGCCTGCCTGCAGTCCAGACTTGTCTCCCATTGAAAATGTGACTTTCCTAGAGCAATTTGGTCAAGGCCCCGTCACACTAGACAACTTATGCCAATTTATGTAACATTTTTTGTCTTAATTTCTAATAAAAGTTATGTATTTGATCAATTTGTTAGAATTACATTATTTATACACAGAAAAGAAGCTTCTTGTTGATTTTTCAATTTCAACTTCAACGTAGATGTCTTTAAAATGTTCAGAAGTTGGCATAAATGGTCTAGTGTGACAGGGCCTTAAGGAAGCCAGCAGATGGTGTTGAATCACTTCTTCTCATATAAAAATAGATAAATAGTTCTGGGTTTCTTTTTCTCCATGGCTGCAAAAATTTTGTTTAGTAGATCTTAAATGTTAGTTTCTCCATTGAATTATCTTTACTGTAAAGTGCTTTAAATCACAAAAGCAAGTAAAGTTAGACTTTTTTATAAAATTGCATTCAGYTCAAGACAAAAGCTGCTGGTTTCTGCTGAAGAATTCGATTTGAGTAAATGCAGCTCATTATGATAAGATTAGCCCCACAGAAAACTAAGGTTTGAAGCACTTAGAAGAATTTCTGAAAATTTCTTTGAACAAGTGAAATTTCCAGTTATTTTACGGACCATTTTTCGAACTCGCTCCATGACTCCATCGATGAACTCCTTCCCGACGGTGTAATGACCTCGAGCGTAGTTGTTGGCGGCATCTTCCTTCCCAGAGATCAGCTGTTCGGGGTGGAAGAGGTCCCGGTACATCCCCACTCTCACTTCATCTGAAGAAAATACACTGAACTAGGGTTAGACAACAATAAATATTAGAAAAAAAGCTTTATGTATTAAATGTGAATTTCTGTTTCACATTTTTATTGACATTTACCCAATAAAGCAATAACTCAAGATTGTTAAAGTTAACTAAATCAGATTTGACTTTAAAGAATCACATAAGAAAATAACTAAATACAGATTTTTCCCTCCTTAAATTCATTTTCACTCCTCAGTGATACAGAAAAAAACAACAACTGTTGGTGTGTGCTTTTCTAGCCTGGCCCTTGCCTTCCTACACAGTTCTGCTCAGTTCTAGTTTCTCTTCACTGCTCCTCTTGGGATTTCKCCCATAGACGAGAATTTCCCTGGAAGAATTTCAACCGGGCCAATCAGCGAACCGAAGGAGGAGTTTTGAACGACGACGTTGATTTTCTGTGCTGTTTTAGTGGCAGTGGAGGAAGTGAATGAAGCTAGTCTGYATTGACAAGGCTTCCAAATGAAGTTACTGGTGCCCCACTGTCAAGTTTGGCTCAGTACTTCTCTTCTCCCAGTAGGGGATGGTTATTTATAGCACACRCAATTTCTGGTTAGCTTCTTAGCTTAGCTTCCTCYACGATCGAGATGGTGCACTGCATACGTCACAGCCAAATGTTAGTGATTGGGTAAATCAGATCCAATCATTTTAAACTTCAACAGAGGCCACGCCTCCAGCAAGAAATCGCTTCTCAATAGTCGAGAGTCCAGACCCTCTGATGCAAAGCTAGGACAAGGGGCTGGTTTTTGCTCAGTTCACATCTTCATGCTGGGACTTTTGGCACCAAAGCCTGATGACAAAAACACTTAAATCAGAAACTGGTCATTCACCCTAAAAATAAACAGGTTTACTTTGGATTCCACTTCTATTTAATCAGAGAAATACTTCACTCTTCTACTTGTGAAATCTTAATAAAATCAGAAACATCCTGCCTCAGGGAGAAGCTGAAAAACTATTTCAAGTCTGGGTAGATAATCTTTATTATTTTTATCAAGGAGCCCCGACAGGTACCCGAGAAATATTCATATTTTCACATGCAGAAGTTAAAACACTAGCAGCAAATAAGAACACCAAACAAACCTTTTGCAATAAAGTTTGAAATTAAAACTTTTCTTCCCACTTACAGACTCCAACACATTATCATAATATGTCCTTTAAAATACAGTATCTATATCTATGTCTATGTCTATGTCTATATCTATATCTACACTCACCGGCCACTTTATTAGGTACACCTGTCCAACTGCTCGTTAACACTTAATTTCTAATCAGCCAATCACATGGCGGCAACTCAGTACATTTAGGCATGTAGACATGGTCAAGACAATCTCCTGCAGTTCAAACCGAGCATCAGTATGGGGAAGAAAGGTGATTTGAGTGCCTTTGAACGTGGCATGGTTGTTGGTGCCAGAAGGGCTGGTCTGAGTATTTCAGAAACTGCTGATCTACTGGGATTTTCACGCACAACCATCTCTAGGGTTTACAGAGAATGGTCCGAAAAAGAAAAAACATCCAGTGAGCAGCAGTCCTGTGGGCGGAAATGCCTTGTTGATGCCAGAGGTCAGAGGAGAATGGGCAGACTGGTTCGAGCTGATAGAAAGGCAACAGTGACTCAAATAACCACCCGTTACAACCAAGGTAGGCAGAAGAGCATCTCTGAACGCACAGTACGTCGAACTTTGAGGCAGATGGGCTTCAGCAGCAGAAGACCACACCGGGTGCCACTCCTTTCAGCTAAGAACAGGAAACTGAGGCTACAATTTGCACAAGCTCATCGAAATTGGACAAGAGAAGATTGGAAAAACGTTGCCTGGTCTGATGAGTCTCGATTTCTGCTGCGACATTCGGATGGTAGGGTCAGAATTTGGCGTCAACAACATGAAAGCATGGATCCATCCTGCCTTGTATCAACGGTTCAGGCTGGTGGTGGTGGTGTCATGGTGTGGGGAATCTTTTCTTGGCACTCTTTGGGCCCCTTGGTACCAATTGAGCATCGTTGCAACGCCACAGCCTACCTGAGTATTGTTGCTGACCATGTCCATCCCTTTATGACTACAATGTACCCAACATCTGATGGCTACTTTCAGCAGGATAATGCGCCATGTCATAAAGCTGGAATCATCTCAGACTGGTTTCTTGAACATGACAATGAGTTCACTGTACTCAAATGGCCTCCACAGTCACCAGATCTCAATCCAATAGAGCATCTTTGGGATGTGGTGGAACGGGAGATTCGCATCATGGATGTGCAGCCGACAAATCTGCGGCAACTGTGTGATGCCATCATGTCAATATGGACCAAAATCTCTGAGGAATGCTTCCAGCACCTTGTTGAATCTATGCCACGAAGAATTGAGGCAGTTCTGAAGGCAAAAGGGGGTCCAACCCGTTACTAGCGTGGTGTACCTAATAAAGTGGCCGGTGAGTGTATATCCGGGCTTAAAATCAGGACTTGTCCCAGCTCTGGTTGTTGTTGTTTTTATTTGTTTTATTTCGTTGATTTTTCTTTCTTTGTTTCGTGTTGTGTGTGTTTTGGTGTTCAGTAGTGCTTTGAAAGGTGTTACAAAATAAATTTGTCGTTGTTGTTGTTGTTGTTGTTGTTGTCTCTTACAGAACACCTTATACAGATGTGAGGATGTGTGTACTTGGTTTTTGTTGCCTTTTTGGGACCTTTTCTGGTATAGACACCTGTTTTTTCCGGACACCACATTAGGATCCGTCAAGTCCTGACCCTGCACCTAATGTTTGGGTTCTGGATTAGGTTTGGGCCAAGGTATAAATTGAGTTTAGTTGGGTTTAGACAAATGTACATTTATAGGGAGATTCACAGAAGTCAGGAGCATCACAGCAGGTGACAACAAACAAAACTAAAACAGTTTAACTAAATTAGGGCTTGTTTAGCATCTTTCCCACTGTTCATTGTGGTAAATCAACATTTACAAGGCTCTTGCTCAGCTTGCTGTAGTTTTCATACTAGTTGTACTGTCACTATGAACTCATTGAATTTTGTTGTTCTGTTTCGGATAACAAAATAAATTAAATTAAATTATTTTAAAACAAACAAACAAAAAAAGTCTTGTTTTTTTCACTCAACGACAGGTCGTGCCAAATGACTGTATCCCTAAAATAATCTGTTCCCCCACCAGAAGGGGCGCTCACAGTAACAAAGTTATTCAATGAACATTCTATTACAAATAGAAATAGTATCTGGTAAATATGTCAAGTATTTACTTGGTATAAGACTGATATCAAAGTTGTAGTATTGCCCACCCCTCGCTGAGTGGAACACTCAGATGCAAACTGACAGAGAAAAGCACAGATTTTGTCAAAAGTCTAAGAAAAAAAACCTTTCTGTTCACAGAACAACAACCGTACATCATAATGGAATGAAATTTGTCTTCTTTTGCTTTTTATTGAAAGAAATGGAGGCAACACATCAATAAAAGAGTAGTGTGTCTCCCTAAATATGTTTCACCACAGAGGCTGAAAAATCCTGAAGTCTGTCTGAAATTAGTGATGACTTTATACATGATTATTAGATTTTTTCATGCTTTTTAAGCTAAAAAAATGATGATCGTATTATACATGAATAAATACGGTACTTCCCAGAAAATGAATGACAACACGACAGTCCAGACCTATAATGCAATTAGAAAATAAATTAAGTGCAAAAAAAAGTCAGGCAATCTAAGTTTTTTTAATAATAAAAGAATGAAAAACTTTTTTATTTCACGTTTTTAAAGCTGCCTGATGTTATATTTACTGTGAGCAAATGGTCTTTCTTAACTGTAACAAATTAAATCTTTCCCTGTTTTGTACAGAAAATGAAGGAACTCTTTTATCTCGGTGTTCCCATCAGTATTAAACTGCATAATCACTGTGAATGGAGATGTGTAAGTGATGTTAAAACGATTTCTGTCTGAACTGATGAAGGATTACTGACCAATAACCGTGGGCTCCAGGTCCACAAACAGAGCTCTGGGAACGTGTCGACCAAAACTCCCCGTGTTAAAAAACGTGTTGAAGGGGTCTTCACGAGAGTTGGGCTCAGTGGGACCATCCAGGAAAACGCCGTCGGGGCCGACACCGTGCTCGAGGCAGAGCAGCTCCCAGCATGCATTTCCAGTCTGGACACCYGCCTGGCCCACGTGGATGGAGATGCACTCTCTCTGTGAAGACGGCAGAGTTTTATCAGGGAAAAAAGCTGATTGTTGTTTCTCTTTCAGGTACTCCCTTCTTTGGGGGTTGCCACATCACAAAAGATTTTCTTTTTGTTTGATGACCTTCCTGATGCAACCGGGGGCCGGGCTCAAACCTGCAGCCTTAGGATTACAAGACTGCACCACTAACCGCCAAACTGTAGTCCCCAAAACAATTCAGAAAACAGTTAAAAAAGTAAAGAAAAATGATAATTCCTTGCATCAGCTTGTCATTTTCTGCAGCAGTCCTGTTCCTACATGTTTACAATCTGATCCTGTTAGTCCTGGAGGGAGAACAGCCCCCATTAGATGATTTTACACTGCTGAGTGATGTGAACATAAACAAAGATTAGACACATCAAACAATCTTGATAAGCAGAATATATTAAGTAGCAGTCAGTATGGGTTCAGACCAAAAAAATTCCATGTCGATGGCTCTCATTGAATTGATAGAACATATAACAACTGCTATTGACCAAAAACAGTACTGTGTGAGTAATTTTGTTGATTTAAAAAAACCGTTTGATACTATTAACCAAAGCATTCTTTTTGAAAAGCTACATAAATATGGTATTAAAGGACCTGCATTACAGTGGGAATCTAGTTATTTGGAAGATAGAAAACAATTTGTACAAATAAATAATGTAAGATCTGAGTTTTGTTACATCTCATGTGGAGTGCCGCATGGTCCCATTCTCGGACCTAAGTTATTATTTTTTTGTTTGTGAATGATTTGGTCAATGTGTCGGGACTTTTTGGGTGTGTTCTATTTGCTGATGATACAACAGTCTTTTGTAAAGATATAGAACAGATGTTGGAGATGGTACAGACAGAATTTGTGAAAATACAAAGTTGGTTTCAACTAAATAAATTATCATTAAACTTGGACAAAACAAATTGTGTGATATTCAGTAACAGTAAGAGAAATGTAGATGTTTCATTTGTTGTAAATGTTGTTGTAATTGTATAATGCTATAATTGTTCCACATTTAATTTACTGTATTGAAGTCTGGGGTAAAGCTTGCAAAACTATGACAAATCCTATTTTTATTTAACAGAAAAGAGCTCTAAGAATTATTACTAGAAAGAATTACAGCCATCCATCAAATTTATTGTTTTATGAATTAAAATTATTGAAATTCTATGATTTGATCGATTATAATATTTTGCTGTAAATGTACAGAGTGCACAAAGGTGTGTTACCTTCCAACATTCAAGTAAATTTTGTTAAAAGAAAGAGCTGTTATTATCTTAAGGAATTGAAATGTTTGTGAAACCCTGGTTCCGTACGAGCCTTAGTGATCCACTTTAATCCAGGGAATAAGTTTGTGGAACGGTCTGGAAGATGAGGTTAAAAATGTCAGATCCTTGTAAATATTAAAGAGAATGATAAAATCTAGTATTCTGAAGAAATATGGAGAAGMAKAAGTGAATTCATGCTAATTGTTGTTTTGAGTTGGTGTTTTAAATTTAGCTTTGGTTTTAGTTTTTTGTTTTTAGTTGTTTTGATTTTTGTTGTAATTCACTTTTATTTTGAACATATTTTGGGTATTTAAAAAGGAGCAGATATTATAAGATTTATTCATCTTTTGCTGCCTTTCATTTTATTTTGATTATACTGGATGTTTTTATTTTTTGTGTATATAATTGTTACAAATAAAATGAATAAATCAAACAAAAAAAAAATCTCCACTAACAAATGGTTTGAATCTGATGAGAGGTTAATTCAGRAAAAAAGTATATCATTAAAATCAAATGCAAAAAGTAAGAAATAACTAGTATATTCTCTCACCATGTTGCTCCAAATAAAGATATAAAGTTGAGGAATATTTTCCGTCAGTCTCCAGATGGTAGATRTTGTCTGTGTGGTCCCGGGATGCGTCTCTGCCGACACAGCGCCGTTCTGTGTGCGTCTCTCTTTATACCTGCTGTCCTCTGATGGTTCAGATTCACTGCAGGAGGAGGGAGCTGACAGACAGAGGGAGGGAACTTTCCTTCAACATTATAGCTACTTCTCACCAAAAATAAATGTTGTTTTAATCATGTTTCAGGCTTGCTGTCACTTGTAGACGGCAGTAAAAATACACAAAGTCTGGCTTTTCTTCAGAGTTACTCAGAAATGGCCAGAATTTTCACTTTATATAAGAAAATAAATAAATAAAGTTCAAGAGTTGGACTAAAAAAGACAGCAGAAGAAATTCCTGATTTTTACAGGTATGGCATTCAATGTGTGGTAACAGAATTTCAGCTCATCTGTTTTTGTTTCGCTCAAGTTGAAACAGTTTGGACAAAACATGAAACATTTAGGTTAAAGCCTCCTGATAAAAAAGTGTAGGATTTTTTTTATTTTGGTTCATAAACAACCAAAAGAGTTAATTTTTATTTCCTGTCTGTAAAATACTGAAAACTGATTTTAGTTAGAATAGCAGTCTCTCTCCCAAATCCATGAAAGCAATAATTATATTCTCACTGGGCAAAAATAAATGTATAAATTAAGCCCCATGGCTACAGTACACCTGTCACATGACAGCACCCTTAATAAAGACATGAATGCAGACTAGAAATAAAGCCTCAGACAAATGTGCAAAAACTACGATATTTAAAAATACCTACTCTATAAAGGCCCTGTCACACTAGACAACTTATGAACATTTTTAAGATGTCTACATTGAAGACGGACGTGAAAAAATCTAAAGAAAGCTTATTTTTGGCATGTGAATAATGCAATTCTAACAAATTGATCAAATATATAACTTATTAACAATTTAGTCATAAAAAATGTTTCCTAAGTGGTCTAGTGTGACAGGGCCTTAAGCAGCAGAAGCTCCTGGTGTTGCACATGTAGATTTTTACATGTTTACAGTGATTTATGTTGGATTTACAAGTTAAAAACATCCTTCATCTCCAGTTTTAATGAAAAGATTTTGAGCTTACGTACAGCGGGTAAAATAAGTATTGAACCCGTCACCATTTTTCTCAGTAAATATATTACTAGAGGTGCTAATGACATGAAATTTTCACCAGATGTCGGTAACAACCCAAGTGATCCATACATACAAAGAAATCAAACCATAAATGTCCATAAATGTCCATAAAT